AATAATTAGTTAATACACACTGGCAACTATCTTGACACCTGCACTGATAAAATGGAGAATATGTATATACACACTATTTGTACGAGGTACTTATGACCTGTGCGATATGGGTGTGACGTGCAATAAAAGTTGACCACTTCAAAATACGTCAAAGTGGTGATGAAAATTAAGTGTATTATATTTACCTTGACGTTTCTTCTTCCCGACGAACTTTTAACTCTGGCCTTGGAGTAAAAATAGATGACTAATGCTAATGAGACGGCGAAGAGCACGAAGAAGACTGCGATGACCCACTCCAGTGTGAAGTTAAAGAGGTATCCAGTGAGAAACATTCCTAGGAGGGTGACTCCGGTGATGAAAAAGAGGGTACAGAAAATAGCTGCGACTATGGCGTACATGCAAAACGTCTTTCCAGCTCCAAACGCCGCCGCGTTAAGTTTATCCAAGAAATTGTCACTAACATACGGCACCGGGTGGGTTGTACTGGCCACACTGTGAAGTGAACGCGTTCCTCCGACGCTATGGATTGACCGGTCCATACTAGGGGCCCTCCTGGGCGTGCTGGTCCCGCTGGTGCTCATCTTTGCTTGTGTCTCGTGGCGTTAACACACCTGGAGTGGCAAATCAGGTCAAATGGTCAACCATATTTGATATTACTCAGCCAAGCAACTATTTAAGGATCACGTGATCTACATTTAATGTCGTTCTGACATACCTGGTTCAGGTTAGGGTAGGGTATTAAGTGACCTTAGAATATATCCTTGAACAAGTTTTAAAGACACAATTAGAAATACACTAACTCTTCTATGCGATCTTTGCTATGAATATCCTACATCCTGTGCCCGCCTTATCAACAACTGAGCTCGGCCATTACCATTCACCTGTAAGCTACAGGTAAAACGACAGAGGCACACCTGGTGACGCAGAACTTCGTCTTGTCGTCTTTACGAGCACATTTTTAAAAACTTTCACTTCATAATCACCATATCTTACCTTTGAATATTGGAAGTATCTGACCGATATGTATTAGATCCGCGACTGTTCCACTTAATCCCGCCTATTAATAGCTATCACAGGCATGACAGTTTGAAAGTGTTAACTGTGACGCATGCGTATTAAGCCGGGAATGCGCCTCGGCTTTGAATATGGCAGGTGGGTGGGGGTGACGTCACCTGATCTCAGGTGAGTTAAAAAAGAGGCATAGTAAGCACTGACAAAGAAATGGCAATTAAGGTAACGCGACAGAAGCAGGTTACCTGAGTGAAGAGAATGACACTAATTGTAACGAGTCCCGTGATAGTATGTAATTGTTATTAGCTATGTTTTGCTGTTTTTCCTTTGAGCGCCTAAGCGAAGTAAAATTAGATTATACAGAGTTTTTTCATCCCGTCCATCCCTGTACATGGGGCTGTGGGGGCAATAGATTACCAGATAAAGAAGTTGCATGCATGTGCCTGCTCATGAAATGACAACGTAATCATATGATTAATGTTAATCAAGTCCCTCTTGTTTGTTTGTGACTACTGTAGTCTTGGGGGAGAAGTGAATGGTACGTGAACTCCGAGATAAAAATATCTTAATGACACATCTCATTCTTTCACTGTCTTCTTTTTCCTTTCATAGGTTTTTACAGTATGTGGGCTTCACTGACAGACAAACCACACAGCATGGTAGGCCTCAATGTAACATAATGAAATTATCTTTGGTGGTCTCTAAGGTTCAATAGCCGAATCGAATCCTTTTTCTTACAGAGCAAATTGTAATTTTCATGTAATTGTATCATGTTGTGAAGTGGAGAAAATTCGAGAAAACATTTGTTTTCGAATGTTTTGCGCCTTCGATTTCATCATGCACCATGTGCCGTGCTTCATCTCATCCCCTCCACACCTCTCTCATCTTACATCAAGCCTGTCTTGGTAATTCACACCTAAAGCTCTCAGCATGTCTGTCACCGTAATATGTTACATCCACTGAGAACAGTTGTCTGCTATTTTTGTCTTCTTGAGTTACTTATTCCGTCCAAATTTCCTGATGTTACCAGTTATTTTATAGCACCTTTTCACATTTCGTGTCTTCAAAAAGCGATTTTTTTCTTTTTCTGATTTCATCTAAGAAGGTGCGGTTGGTAGGTAACTTGGTTCCTTTGCGATCGGACAGCTTCAAGCCTTCTCTTAACTGTCCATGTACACGCATTATCCTTCTTAAGAAACACATCTCTACTGAAAGTTTCTTCTTTACTTTCCTCCTGAAGATCATGTTATGTATCCTTTTATTGCTATTGGATCTACATGTATGTAGCATTGTTTGATTCTCTTTCTTGTTTCTATTGATATGGGTTCTGATGGTTTTCATTTGACCAAATGCAATTTTTGATTGTTTCTGCCATCGCAAGTAATACTTTTTATTTGAATTTAGTGATTTAATGCCATTTGTACATTAGTGTTTCATATTATAAGTGGCAAATGCGAAAAAAGATCTTATTAACCTTAAATTCTTTAAGGAAAATGTTACGTTTGTTAAATATTATTATTTTTCTAACTTATTGTCCCTTGAATGTATAAGTATAAAGAGCATATGTATCAAACCATTGCTATCGTATTGAAAAATAACATTATTAGGTGCGATAGCGGAGATGAGCGACAAAAGACATTGACCTATCTCTACATTTATGAACAAGTTCTCAAGGGTGATGGTCTCAATGTGATTGTGTTAGATGAGAGAGAATGGGGTTTATGAAAATTGTGCTTTAGTCACTGGAACAATATTTTTGTGTACCTCATTGCTTGAATCAAATACTGAAATCATTTAAGGTAGATCGGTCGTTACGTAATTTGACGATTTGCGCAATTTCAGCGCATCGTCAATCGTCTCTAACGACACTTCAGTCTGTTTTATCAATTTGAGGAAATAAAACAATTATCTATAAGATAAACACACATTATCAACTTGTCTGTAACTCTGTATGATCGATACAGATTTTCGACAACGTTTGTCGACTATGATTCCATACGACAACTGTAGCACGTTCATAGACTTGCCCTTCAAGAAATCGTCGGAATAGCTCCTTTTCCAATTTGAATTGGCACTAGAAAATGTATGACAGCTAAAGCTCACAAATTATGCACGTAGGTGCTATGTCATGTAAAGAATAAGTGTTGTAAATTCCAATCATAGCGGCTGCGTATATTTTGAGGTAGAACGCCCTGAATGTGCTGCTGTAGTTTAGATTTCGACGAAAACCGGAAGTGCGTCGTAACGCCACTCATTTGGAAATTTGGACTGAGAAATATTTCGTAGCTTATACAAATGTTCAGAAAATGGCCGTAGGGTCTACAGCTTGAAGAAAATTCACTAATCAAAATTGAAACTGCGTTATATTATACAGAAAAATTGTGCACTTCTGACCTTGACTTGTCAGTGTAAACAAAGTGTACTGAACGCACCGCAAGCAAGCACGTGAATGCCGCATTTGATACTTTGTATCAGACGCTTCATTTTACTTGACAACACAGTGTTTACGATGTCACGTTCATGTTATATTCATTAATAAATAACAACGGCAATAAACTATTTTCATATGCATGAGTATTTCCCTTATTATTCTCTTCAATAATTTTGTTGTAAAGTTAATGGCTTACACCTTCTCATCAGTTTGACAAATCTGAAAATAGCTGAGTATACTCACTTCAACTGTTAAACATAACGAAAGTTTTAAATGTACTTAGATGTCTCTTCACACACACACACACACAAAAAAAAAAAAAAAATCATAAAAAATAATGATTTAGTGAAAAACACCCATTTTCCCATTGATTTGAATGGGGACTTCCGACTAGTGCGTCACGCAGGGTGTAACGCACTTCAACTTGGCGTAGTTCTCTTATTTGGTCGGTGACCCCCAACTTTTTTGGCAAAATTAAAATCTACTTGGATGCCTCTTTACACAAAAAAGTTTTTTTAAAAAATTCAAACGTTAGAAAAATCATGAAAAATAACGTTTTGGTGAAAAACACCCATTTCCCCATTGATTTGAATGGGGACTAGTGCGTCACGCAGGGTGTAGCGCACTTCAACTTGGCGTAGTTCTCTTATTTGGTCGGTAACCCCCAATTTTTTTGGTAAAATTTAAATGTACTTGGAGGCCTCTTTACACAAAAAAATTTTTAAAAAAATTCGAACGTCAGAAAGTCATAAAAAATAATGCTTTAGTGAGAAAACACCCATTTTCCCATTGATTTGAATGGGGACTAGTGCGATATGCAGGGTGTATCATATTTGGGGCTAGTTCTCTTATTTGGTCGGTGACCCCCAATTTTTTTTGCAAATTTTTAATGTACTTGGGTGTCTCTTCAAACAAAAAAAATTTTAAAAAAATTCGAACGTTGGAACATGTAACGACCGATCTACCTTAAAGACATACCAAGCGCGTTAGTTTAATATAGCAAAAAAAAAATCATGGAAAATTCAACACTTTACTTTATAGCCAAGGTATACCCTATCTAAAACAGTTGAGAATATTACAATGGTTTACCAGTCTCAATTAATCTACATTATGAGAGTGATTCATAAATCAAAAATGAGAAACTATAAATTTGTACCGTAAACATATCCCGGATATCGTACCATATTACATGTTCAGAACTACTGGTATATTATCCACTCGTGGAAATAATTTGATGTGTGTTTGGCATGACATCCTGTGAGCTAATTACACAGTTCATTATTTATTTATATTCTGTATGACTTTGAGTGTGATAGAGAGAATATAGCCATGGTCATGGTCATAAACCATATCTTTTGGCCTTGTTTCAGCGAAGTTCTTTTCAAGTAAAAAAATTACGTTTCTTATCTCTATAAGTGCTAGTTCAGGTAACAACCCCACTGGAACTCACGATTTACATTGCGTGGTGACGCCAGAGTGGTCACTGCGAGGCCTCCCTTGACTACGTTTACCTGGCGTGACCCAGATATAGCAGATGCGGCCCCAAAGTAAACACTCGGACACTACGCCCGTTACCGACCTCTCTCAGTTATTAATGGCATCGCATACATGTTAACGTTTGAATGTGTATAGACCGTTCGGACAGAAGAATTGTTCACCACAGGTGCGGCTACTGAACTGAATGATAAGCGGTTAAATTGACTCCGGCTACTGTGTGAATGATGTAGGAGTATGGATCGAACCTGCGTAATCGATCGATTCCTGAGGGATCAATCGGGCCGTCAGTCTCTTTATTAACCTGTATGACCTGTTATGTGGAAACACGAGTGAAACGGACACGCAGGAGACGCCGTGGAACTGAAAGGTGGTCACTGACATAAAGTTGACCACGCTGGACTGTACGCCATATTAACAATGATTGTATTGGTGCCGTGTTTGTTTGAACTGGTACGAGGAATAGTTACAAGTTTATGGAGGTATGTAGTTGAATATGTCGACAGTTTAAGCACGACCTCAGATAACTCGTTGTGTGAAGAACAACACCACACTGTCATGATTTAGTTAAAGACCCGTATACACGATTAAGTAAAGAATACATAAGTGTTAACCACCATTAACTAGTAGGTATAAATCCTTGTATATTGATTATCACGTCTACTGGCCGAAGACCATATATTTACACTCTACCCACAGAGCAGCGGACTTGTGGAGCTGTTTATATTTGTATAACACACCAGTGGACGGTAATTGTTATCATTGTTGCTCGTGAGCAATAAATAAACATCAGAGAGAGGTACAACACATGGACTGGTCAGGCTGGCCCAGGTATCGGGTTTCTACATGAATTAAGCCCCAAGTTTGTGCTCTTGGATCTGTACCCCAGGGTTAACATGCGTAGCCCATGGTTAACCTATTTTCTTTTGTTAAAAGTATGATTAACCCCTTTTTTATAAATCAATGACAATAATAGCATAGCTAGCAGAAGGACACACCCACCGAGTCAAGACTATAAGTATGTTATCATCTGAGATAATTCTGAAGAAAGAGTGCAATATATTATTACGCTCTTGTATGTGTCGCAGTGGACGGTCCGTGGTGTATTTAGTAAACTTATTGAATACGCTAGTCGAATTATATATATATATGTGTGTGTTGACCGAGAAGTGTCAAATACCGAGTCATGCAGGCAGGCCAAGGCGCGTTGTTCTGGCTATGTGCACATATAAGCCCAATACATACTCTTCGTTTGGCTTCAGTTTGTGCTTAAATTGAATTGTTTTGTGGCACTGTGGTCGCAGAGGGATAGTTTTAGATCGTTTTAGGCCCTCTGTTTGAGTTGCACCGAGGAGACAGGATCTGAAGGATAATGGCCGATCCTGGGAGAATACTACAGACTTTTTACTTACCTACGACATTGGCTACAATGCACAAACATGTGGCCGGGTGAAATGAAGGCCTTTAGCCTCCACTCTTTGCAAATACTTCATTCGTAAGCGAAGGAAGTATGGGGGCTATGGGGAATCTCCCCACCCATGTTTTTTTTTCTGAATGCTCTCTCTCTCTCTCTCTCTCTCTCTCTCTCTCTCTCTCTCTCTCTCTCTCTCTCTCTCTCTCAGACACACACACACGGTTTGCTTTCTTTGCGTACATAGTACCGAGAGACAGTGGGCGAGTTTCACAGCCGTGAATCTGTCTTGATCAAGTTCAGCATGAAAACTTCCGAGAGTGATATTTATATCTGACCTATCCCATAATTTGACTGTGTACTCCCATTATGCAATATATTGGGTGCTTTGGGTTTGTGCCGGAATGCTAATGTGTCCTAGGGAAGGTATACTTATCTTTGTTGGAGCGACTGTCCATTGTACACGTTGTCACTCGACGTACTGTGGCTCAAATCACCACGGATAACTTTTGGATATCCATGGTTGTCAGCTTTAGTTATCATAATTATCATTTGTTTATGATTATTGCTCAGCTTTGTTGTATTGGTGGAATAGTGCTGAGCTGACGACGGGCATAAGAGCTAATTATGTAATATAATATATTAGACCCATTTGTCTATTTTTGACATATTTATCTGCTTTACTGTCAGACTGTCTTATATGCTGCATAACAGGTGCATTTGACCACCTGAATAACTCTGTTTGCCAATACCACTAGGGTCTTCCTGCATAGTGCTATTGTATGATATAACCACATGCACTAGAAAGAAAAATATGTAGGTTAATTGATGTCTCTGGGCCTGGATCTAACTTCCTCCGGTACTACTGCATACAAATCTATTGTTTAGCATCCTAGAGCGATGGTCTACTAATCGATCTCCCCGCAACTTTCCTTATTTTTCTTTTAAGAAAAATTTAAAAATGAAGTAATAATGTTTGGTCTGTTCTTGGAGCCAATATACCTATGTATACTCTATGTCCCATCTTATTCCTGGGTATATTTTTCCTATTTTCAGACGTCCCCAGCGAGTTGATCCACGTATTCCAGTCCGTTTGGGTTCCAGCAGCGACGAAAACTGGGGTGTCTCTTTGACACTTCAGAACGGAACGAAAAAGAGGAAATCAAAACTTTTCGAAGAGTATGAGTCAATCATAAAAATATTGAAAAAGTATGACTTTGATTTTGAAAACCTTGCCTTCGAGGGAGGAGGGAATAAAGGAATTGCGTATGGAGGAGCAGTTAAGGTAACAAGTGGTCTGTTTTTCGGTCTTCTGTTTCCCCCTACACGTACATGTACCATCATGCACTTGTTCATTTTAAAGAAAAGCATCAGCCGCTCAAAAAAGTCAAAAGCCCTTGAATTATACCCACAATAATAATTAAGGGTTTATATAAAAGTGAAAGTTATCATATAGTGCATATATATATTGGGGTTAGTGCGATTAGAAGTTATAAGAAATTATAAGATGGGCTAAATAGCCCTGCTGGTTTCAAATTTCAATAATTTGTCCCACGGAATAATTAAATGTAGATTTTAACTCTCCTAGATATTAGAGAAGATTGGAGTTCTGTGGAAATGCAAACGTTTTGCTGGAAGTAGTGCTGGGGCTGCCGTAGCCTTACTTGTTGCTCTTGGATATAGTGGAGACGAAATCATTTTCATGATGAAAAGAGATATTTCGGCGGACAATTTTATGGGTAAGCAGATTTTTCGAGGCAGCGTCCAGTATACATTTTATGTCATATGAAAAAGAATAAATAAAAAGTCTTTTAGAATAGAAAAATGTCCTCTTACAGTTTCATTTTGGCAGCTTTTTGATAAAATTGTTTCTAATAGCAAGAGAAGTTAGTACAAAACTGATAAAAATCGCACGCACATATCTCGGAAATAGCCGACTTCACTTGTTGGATACAAAGTTCATTACTAAAAACAGCGCCTACAGAAATTTGTTAAGATATGCTACTGCCAGCAAATGTAAAATAACATGAAAGACAGCACCGTCAATGTCGGAAATACACGATTTCCCTGTTATACCTAGATTCACGCAGCGGCAGGCTGGGCTTGCTGTACAATCTATTCTACCATCATGGCTGGCATCCGGGGAAGAAACTGCACCAGACGCTGGAGTCCTATGTGGAGCAGGCAACTGGACGCCCACACCTTACATTCGAAGAGGTTAGCAAGGTTTTTCAAACTAGTAACATTCCTTTTAATTAGCAAAGGGCTAAAACTGGCTTTTTCTTCACCTGGAAAATAACCCTTATTGCAAAATGGAACACTTTACATTATTGAGAAAGACCTAACGCAGCGGCATTGTGGGGGTTTCCATCAGACACCAAGAAATGCCGGTGCTACACTTATTTTCTTTCGTCCTTCCTATTTTATTAAATTTTTTTTTATTCTTATTTCAGCTTTATCAAGAGTTTGATAAGGAATTATGTGTCGTCTGCACCAACATCACCACAATGTCGGCAGAATACTTCCATCCTAAGACCACCCCAGACGTGTCCATTGCGCTGGCTGTGAGAATGTCCATGTCTTTACCGGGTAAGAGGCTTTCATATGTCCCGTCAGCAACTCGTAACGTCACTCTGATGGCAGGACGACACTGAATCGATATTGTGACGTTAAAATGGGCATCCCTTACATGACGTCGAAATAACGTCGTGTGCCTGGGCTTGTTGTCTTACATATTTGTGCTCATACGATTGGGTATTCATTCATCTATTGCTTTGATTTTAGTATCATTGTGACTTAATTATTTATTTATTCATTATTAGTTTTAACGCGAAATAAATGTGCGTTTACAAGATGTACATGTACGTCTTACACTTGGCGAGTATGTAAGTAATTACACATACGACACAGATAGCAAAAATAAAAAGCGATATGATATTGTCATATATTATATAAGATAGACTAGATGGAACCTTTTTTTAAGAAAATTTACACTTCACAGGTGTATTCCAACCAGTTAAACTTGAGCGACATGGAACCACGTACGTTTACGTCGACGGTGGGTTGCTGTGTAATTATCCCGTACATGTATTTGATGGTAAGTGACCATTTTTTTGTCGGAGTATCGTGGAGATGATGTACATTTGGTAGTATTTTTATACGTAAATTAAAATCAGCATCAGCACTTAAGGTGTCGTTTTTTAGTAGTATATTGATCTGATGGAAGGAATCAACAAGTGCACGCGTTAGTTTTTTCTAGTGCATTTGTTGAAAGAGTACAACTTTCATGTGTAGGCCCTCGCCAACGACCGCTCCTTCCAGCTCTTAATACTTTAAAATAAAATCCTTGCAGGCCGGTACTGCAACCATCTACGCAGTAAACTGAGAATTGACCACAAAGGAGTGGATGTTTTGTAAACACGAATGAAAAATTAATAAAAGTGATTACAAAAACTCCAAGACCTAAGGTCCCTTGCCACTAGATTCAACTGAAAAAAAGAATGCAGCGGAAACACGTTTATACGACTTTTGGACGAATAAAACGGACACAGTGCATCATCATCAGTATTTTGACTCTCATATATACTTCTTATGCGTTTTCAGGTTGGTTTTTGTCTATGAAACCCAAAGACTCCTTCTTGAAGCGTCTTGATATTAGCACAAAACACAAAGCGACAAATCAGCATTTTATGTTTGGAGGACACAATACTAAAACACTAGGGATGATGCTTGTAAGTAACTTTGACAATCATTATGTTAACGCAAGGGATGATGTAGAAACCGTTTAATTTACATGTCTTGGCAACATCCGAACATTATAGCAAATACAACATCATTTGACAAATTGGACATATTGCATCACATTGCAATGCAATGCATCACTGCACGTCGTGGCAAATGCAACATTATATACAACATTCAAGTTTCCAATTTGAAGTGAAAGAAAATGGAGAAAAAAGTAAAATTATAACTATCGCTTTATCCTCATTTTCCTCAGTATTCTGGTAACGAAGTGGAGTTCATGAAGAATCAGTTTGAAAACAGACTGACAAAACTAGACGATGACGGTAAAGCGGAGTTTTACTTTGAAAACCCCCGACCAGATACAAAACTGGCCAAGTAAGTGTTTTATTTAAAAATAAACTTTTCAAAGCAATACACTACATTTTTAATTACATTTACTTGTCGGTAATTAATCATCTCATTCTTTGTCAAATAAAAGTTGTGATTGCGGACGGAGAAGCTCCATCCATTCACACACACAATAAACCTATTCCACTGTGCACTTGGCAGAAAACTTTCTGGCTACTTGAGTGTATCGTGACATTCCCAAGTACTTACCTCTTTAACTTTTTAATTTACAAACGATTTCGGCAATGCATGGTTGATGAAGTGAATAAATCAAAGACAAGAGCTTGTTAGGGTCTGACTTTGATGTTAACATTCTTTCTTTTATTACAATCAATATTCCCTTTTAGGTTCAATGGTCCCATCGTAGATCAATATCTGAAGACGGAGAGAAAAAGGAACCGAATATTTGAGGCTGCCATGCACTTTTGGCAAGCCCTCCGCGAGTGCGATAAAGACGGGAACGACGCCATAGATAAAGACGAACTAAGGAAAGCGCTGCAAAATGTAAAGGAAAATAAAGATTGCGTTAAGGGGGTTATGTGGGTAAAACCATATACAGGGATTACTCAAGCGTCCTTTGTTAGGCGTAATAACTAATATTAATCTCGATTCGACTCTACCCATTTCAGAATATCATACATGTATAATGGTGCTAGCATTTTTTCAGAATAATAGCAATGATGATAATGAATCCGTTATAATAATGCATTAGATAATTGAAAGCAAAAATAATATATATTTTTTAAACGCGATTTAAAATCTTAATGCCTTTCCTATTCAATACGTCACTCGCCTCTTTCCAGGGCATATTCACCGAGCACGATGCCACGGTGCTGTTCGGTAAGACGTACAGCGTGGACCAGATCTTCCAAGATATGGACACAAATAAAGACGGATCGGTAGGTGGCGTTTTAAATGAGTTTTATTAATTAATAATAATAATAATTTTATAATAATAATAATAATAATAATTCATTTGCTAAAATTGCAACCTAAAGGTTTAAGTTTTACAATGTGTCTTAAATAATAAAATCATAAGGTATTTTAAAATTAACTAAAAATTATAAACTAAAAGACCAAAGCTTTAAATATACGCATGTTACCATAATGGAATACTGTGTAAATTTCTTTTCTGTCAATAAAGAATAACTATAATAATATTACAAAATTATTTTTAGTAGACAGACAGATACATTTATTAAAATATAAGCATATAAGTTTTTTGTTGAAAAAAGTCGATTTAAAGTCCCATGGATTCATAGCGTTTGTAACAAAAGCAGCAAAGTTGTTGCTTGGGGTGACATTTACCTTATTATATAAATTATTGTCCATTTCATTCTGACTAAAGACAAATGTATATTGAACCATATTACCGACAAAAACCATCTACTAATTAGGGACTAGGGTTTTTGTTTCACATTTTTTTAATCTTTTTTTTTTTTTTTGCTGTGAAATCTTGCGCTGTGTATCTTTAAGTTACTTGAAAGTTTCATATTTCGCAGTGAGGTATTTGGTAATTTCCTCACAGAGGACAACCCATTGTTCCCCATGCTCTTTCTGGCGATCTGGATGGTAATGTTGTATAGCCTTCAACAGGACTTTCTTGATGCTGTCGTGTTCCCCGGAGTCAAGGGCTTCTTCGTCTAATTTCTTATTTTCACCCTTGGGAGGAAAAGTCTTGTAAATAAATCGGAGGTATGATTCAGGAAGGCCATTAGCTGACTCTTTTAACTTTTTCAGGTCTTCGCTCAGTTTCTCCAAGTACTTTTCACGTTTCTTTTGCCACACATCTTCTTCTCGCTCCACTTGTTCTTTTTGGTATCGCTGTAACGCACTTGTACATTCCACATACCAGTCTGTAAATGATCGTTAACTCAGAATATAAGTAGTATTTAGTCTCAGAGTATAAGTACATGTAGTAGGCCTATTTAGTGCTAGCGTGCGCGCGCGCGCGCATGTGTGTAAGAGAGAAAAAGGGATAGAGAGAGAATCACAAGGCCACATTTACCTTCTGAATGAAAACTTTTAGGATGTAAGGCCATAACAAGGCTCATGCAGCGGTTGAAGTACTTTTTTGCCATAAGTTTGATCTTCAATACTTTGTCGTAAACACTCCCCAATCGACTCAGTGCGATAGCTTCCATCTCCACCTAGTTGATAAAAGAAATAAAAAGTGATTTCAAAGAGTTTGCAAAACAAGAAGAAATGAGGATACAGATTTATAGACTATCTGAACGTGAACCACCTCCAACAAGTACTGATGGTGCCTTTGAAATCTGCCAGATGAGTATGCCTCTGAGAGCCTCTACAGCCCTGGTAGTACCAAGAGGAATCAAATGCACTACGGACAGCTTCTTTTTACAAATCAGTGGTATGATTGTCCTTTGCAGGCGTGTTGTTTTTGAAAATATGGAGTTCCTAATAATGTACTGCGTATGTTGCTTTGTAATGGTTGTTTATGACTTAAAATCAGTTTTTTATATTTACCTATTGATGAATACAGTTTATGAATTGCTCTCACAATGACACTAAATAGAAAGTTATTAAAATTAATGTAAAAATCGTTGTTTTAATTTTACCCAGAAATACGGGGAAATCTAAGGAATTTTGTTAAATTAAATATGAAAACTGAACTCTGTAAATGGTGATGTAGATATTTATGTGCGAAATAAGGTAACCTACCTCATGCTCTCTTGACAAGAGAATAGCTTGCTTGTACCAGTCAATAACTTCCCAAATCATATCATAACTCAGTTCTTCCTGTTCCATCAAAATATTTTCCAGTAGATCATCGGCTAGTGACAAAAAAAATACGTTTTTATTTTTATTACCAGATATAAGAGAGAGAGAATGATATAATAATGATGTGGAATTTTCTAACAAGGCGTACCTGTTTTTCTTGCCTTAATAGACTCAGCAACGCACTTCTGCATAAAAACGTCCTTTTCCAGGACATCAACTTCCTTCATGATTTCATCATCCGCGACTCTTTTGGTTTCTTCAATTGGCTGGTAACATTCAGCCATGTAATTCAGGCATTCTGTGATGTCACCGTTTTCGAGAGCAGTGACACCGAGATGAAAGGTAACCGTAGTCATTTCTAGAAGTCCAGCCACTCGGACAGGTAGGTCGCGCGAAATGACACCCAGAAACCTGCGAAGAGTGTCCACGCGTTCACGACACAACCCCATTTCTGCAGTGTCATCAATAACACCCTGGAGGCACTCGTGGAGGTATTGATTAGATTGGGTGGACCAGTCGATACCTCGAGATGATCCGGCTTCTTCCAAGGCATTACTCAAGTGCTTTAGTGCCTCTATTAAATGAAATTCCACAAGTTTAGGGCCTTCATTTTGTAGCTGTATAACTTGAGCCAAACGCCATGACGCCATCCCAATATTTTTATATGCAGAGGATCGATCATTTCTTGTTTCTGCAGTTTGAAGAGCTTTGTTGTATTTCATAATGGCATTATTCAGCCGTTCCTTTCTTAAAACGGGGCTCAGTCCACTCTGTGTCGCTGACGTGTACAGCTGGTTTCCCTCTTTACGCCAGTTCTCCGAGATGCGCGCCATGTCGAAGGTAAAACGCCGAACAACAATCTAAAACCAGATAAGTTGAAAAAGAATCCGTGGGTGGAGAATACCGGTGCACTCCTACTTTCGACATTTATTTACACTGAAGATTTACACTCTAATTGGAATTTTACGCATGCGTATTAGACTGTATATGTATGGTGGTGCTTAGATTCATAACAACAACCTAAAACTAGACAAGTTGAAAAAGAATCCTTGAGTGGAAAATACCTGTGCACTTTTGCTTTCGATATTTATTTACACTGGAGATTTAATTGGAATTTTACGCATATTAGACTATATACGTATGGTGGTGCTTAGATCCGTAACATAGGGTCACGTTGTGAAGCGTAGATTTGTTGTCAAAAACCAATAAGACGATGTTCTCCTGGAGTTTTTTATGAATGTTATTTAAATTTCACATTTCAGATAAATTGGCAAGAATTTTTGTATTTCATCGAGCGTCGCAGCGTAGCGTTTATGTGTTATGTTCAGAAGCTTTCAATGAGAGACGTGAATACCTTCGGGGATTTCCTCACGTCTGTGCTAGACACTGTAGAAATCAACGTAAAGCAACTATATATGAAGGTAAGATAAATTAGGCCTGTCTCTAGATTTGGTTGAAAGAAAATAATTTCTTTTCTCTCTTATGCGAGGATATTCATGTATATCATTTAATGGGTTCTTTAAGACTAATTGATTTAAAATATGTATTTTTGTGTTTGGTACTTCTCATCAATGATATGACTCTCCGCACATGCGCTTAAATTGCCTTTAAAAATAGATATATTGTAAATATATGAATGAAACGTTTTATACAAAAAATTGAAAATTATGAAATTGTTCAACGGTGAAATGCCTTGGAAACGTATTAATGTATTTTTTTGTTTGTTTATTGTTTAGACTAACGATGATGAGCGCACGATTGGTATCAACACAGATTACGTCCAAACAACCGATTTTTACATGGAAACTGAGGACAAAGAATTTCTTATACGTGTAAGTTGATCTGTTGAATTGAATCCACTGGCATTGCAAATGTCGTCACAAACATTGCATCACTTTGTTTTATCGGTGTAACAAATTGCCTTTTCATATTTTTGCAACTTTAAAGAGACTTAATTTCATACAAATTGCCTTAATTGAACAGAAACTAGTCTGAAAGTCAAATTAATCGATAACAGCAATTCAATAGACAAAAACATTGTAAAGCAAGGCCCTTGATTTTTATGAATTTTTTTCTTTTCAGCAAGGAGCCATAGCATGTATCCAGTATTTAAAAGCCTACATTGAAAAGAATTATGGTGAAACAATATCTTATCAATTAGTTACTTGATCTCGAGAATACTAATAGTTTTTCATCAGTGCAGGGTAACAGAGGTGCGAACGATGCCCTGCTTGGGAAGTTAATATTTCTATATTACAAATTTAAAGCTGTTGATTCAGGGAGATGTTTGTAACCAAGCTTTATAAATTTTTCTACCATCAGGATCGATTTAAGTTAATGTGAAGCACAAAAGATATTTCACAAAAACAGGAAAGAATTAATGGCACCTGTAACATAACCAGAATATGTATAAAACAGTCTCAGAACGCATTCAGAACAGTGGACTAACAGATCCGCGGAGCAAAAATGGCTTTCCGCCTAATTCAGGATTACACACTAAATAGATTTCCTGCGGGGATAACGCAACAAGCATTCAAGTGGGTCGGCCATATTTGATCCGCGGATCTGTTAGTCCCCTGTTCTAAATGAGCTCTCAGACAAATATCTGTGATATTAATGCATTCCTCTTGTGAACATCCGCTTTGTTGTAAGAAAAAAATATAAACCTAACACTGGACTTACCAGGATGCAACGATCCAACGTTGTAATCGGTACCACGAACTTCAACCTGGAAGTGAATGTCAGTGACCCGTTGTGGTCACGCGACAGGTCAGGTGACTAGGTATCTGCTCGAGAGCCTTGTCCCACACTTGCGTCACTTAACTGTGATATCACACTACTCATGGGCAAAATTACGAATTTAGTTATTATGTCCAATCAGTACTGGATGAATGGGAATTTCTCGCCGTATTATCTTCGCCAGGTTTGCACTCAATTGCCGAACGCACTAACGTTGCGTATGTAGAGGGTGCGTTTGGAAATTATTTTCTCAGGGATAATCTTGTTAGCTTTAGATGACGTTTTATTTATTTTTGGTTTCTCTTGGCATCTCGCGGTGATTTCGGTGTTCCTTTTTATATTTGCAATAATTTTTCGCCTGTCCTTTTGTTTATAATTTACTTTATGTCGTATCATACCAAACGGACAGGGAATGTTGATCAGTAATTTTGACATGTGCCATTTAGTTAAGTAAATGAATATAAGTTAATGATTGAGCCTTGATAAAATTATTTGTATGTCGATATTATTATTCAATAAAAATATGACGATTTCTTTCAGTTTCTTCTAATAGCACAAATGGCTTTCACAGTGTATCATACTATAAGTATTTGGTTGGAAAACCCAAATATTTTCCTTCACGCCCCCTACTCCGTCCCCATTGCATTGAATTTGCTTTTATTACACAGAAAACTTCCGTGTTTCTTTTTTTCATATGGACAGTTGAGGTTTTACAATTATTTACAAGTGTCTTGCAGGTATGACCTACAATGTTATTATTGTATAAGGCAATTCTCCAAACTGAAGAAAATCCACCAAAACCTGCAATTCTACTCCTTTTTACGTGCAGATTGTGTCTCAACCGCAGTTTTCAAAACTTAACAACGTTTGAATGTAACCCGTTAAAATAAAGTGATAGAAAATTAAAACTGGGATTGATGTGAAATACTTCACATGTAGACAAGGTATATCTGTGACTTCAGTTGTAGTTTGTAGTTGGTTAATCCAGTCGTGGCTGTTACTATATCAATCCTTCACCAATGGCGTTCAATCCATCGGAGCTACACTGTTAGATTTGAAAAACTTAATTCGAACAACCGCCACCGCTACAAGACAACCTCCAACCACAGCCAAAGTTCCTCCTACAGCCATAATAGCAACCGAATTAGAATTTCCTGAAAGCAAAAAATTTACGTTGGAAAAATGTCGTGTCAGTTTTTTTATTTGAATTGATTACTTAAGAGGATTTGCTTATATCAATTAAACTCTATTGTTATATCGAACACATATGTTCTAATATTATATACTACAAATACGCACTTTGCGGTTATTAGCAAACTTTATTGTAATATAACTGGTGTAGTAATCTATTAATAATGGAACAAATAAAAATTCTGAATAAGTATTCACGATATAACGTTACCTTCGTGTGAATGTTCATGGTGTGGCGCAAGAACAAATATTGGCCTTTGCGCCGACAACATCTGTACTTTCCCGGTGTCGCTGATTTTGTTATCACGTCGCCTACGTCTTCGTGACGTGTCTTCAGTGCATCGGGGAATGCAGCGACTCTCACGGTCCTTTAATTCACAGACGCGCACCTCGCAGTGAATGTAGACGAGGGGATGCTCTGTCATAAACTTCAGCGCCTGAATGGTAAATGTTTGGCCTCCAAGACGCCATGAGAGGAATTTGACGGTAGAGTCGACTGCACACCTTGAAGGGATTTTTTTCAAAGTCAAAAATATAAAATAATTATGTGCATGCGCGCGTATGCTCGACAGAGAAAGAGAGAGAGAGAGAGAGGGAAAGGGAAATCTTAAACAATTCCAATAAATTAAAACACGTCATCAATCAATTTTTCCATATATGCCTCAGTCGTAGAACTGTTTTGTTTACCTCGTTAGTTGTTTAAAAGCCAAACGCCGTCAAAATTATCAAAATTTTTGAAAATTAAGATTTAACTATAAAACCTACCCATTTTCTATAAGCCTATGTCTAACGGTATCTGCCGGATCATTGGATGGAGACGCCCAGCATTTCACTGCCAGGACCGTGAAGGTATCCGACGACAGCACTTTGAGGTCCAGGTAAAGATTTTGCCCTAACTCAACCACGACTACCAGCGGCGAAAACCTATTGTAATAATAAAATATAATTCATTGTCATTAAGCAAAAATTTATTTATTTAAATTGCCATTTTTAAGCTGTTTCCCATAATTTTGGATTTCGCTTACTAATATTTTTATCCGTGTCTAAATGGCATTTAATTTTTCAAATTGCTTTAAAAGGAAAGTGGTTTTGTCGAACAATCTTCACGAAACAATGATCTGTAATCTGTATTATTTATATAACATTCCTGATAAAATCTTTATCAATTAAAGATATATCACATACACTCTCCCTCTAGACTCTCTCCATCTGGCCCAGGATGCGTTAGCGGAGACATCCAGACTGAAATCCATGTTTCCAGATTGACGTTGTGTCATCAAAATATCTCCCGTTGGGCTGTAGACAGCAGACGCGATTCCTCGAGAGTTGAATACGCACAGAAACTCGAGCTGAATCCGAGGAAGTCTCGTGATTTCATTGCCATGAGAATTGTTTAAAAAATTAGGACGTTCATTTATTTGGTTGGAATATATTATAAGCTCGCCCCCAGCGTCTGTTTCTCGGGTTGTTCCGCACTTTGTGTATTCTGCTTGAAGAAGATAGTGGCTACCGTTATAAATGGCGGCGCAGGAATCCTCGCCATTCAGCCGTACTTTATATCGATGGAATTCTGGAAAACGTGAATGGGTGATTTTAATGTTCTCATATAGTCTTTCTACTGTGTGGTCTTAACTGATTTCGAAAAGCGACCACGTTCAGAGGTATTGTAGCGCATTTTGTCAAGGGCAATGATTCGTACATTTAAGTGTGCTAGGCGCAATCATATATGTAGGCCCTAGTAAAGAATACCTGAAACCAGATCTTTTCCTATGGCTATCTTCATACTCTTGGCGGAACATAGCACCTTCAGTTTAGTACCTTAAAATAAAAAACAACAAGTCTTTATATACCTTTTGTCAAACATTCCTTTGTTAAAATTTACGCCAATATTGAAAACTATCAAACGAATTAGGGCCCTATAGTCAACATTATTTCAGATGTCATAATCGACAATAAGTCCAACTTTGCATTTCACTATTAGAACCATAAGTTTAACAGTAACAGCCTCTGCAATAATGTTCTTGGCAAAATAATAACCAAAGTATACTGCTTACTTTTACACATCTTTCCATCGTCTGCCAGACCGTCCATATAATCCGGACATGTACACCACGTGCCATTTCTACCATCGTAGTTACAGGTATGGCTGCAGCCGCCATTGTCGAAACCGCAACGATTTATTTCTGCAGTGTTCAAAAATCATGTACGGAACTAATAATTAATGCGACTAATACAGCTAGGATGATACGGATATTGACAATAAGAAAGGTCTTCAGTGGAAAAAATCTTTATTCAAGGGGAAAATTGAGATAATATTGATTGGAATTTTTTCTTGCTCACGGACGTTTTTGAAATATTATTAAATTAAACTAATATTTATGTTGAAAGTAGTCTTACATTTAACTTTGCAATGTGTTGTTTTCTTTTCAAAAAGGGTTAATTCCGTTGGTGTAAATGTCTATATTACGATGAAACAATTAAATATACCTTTTTCACACCAAAAGTTGACGTTGCGATCACAGTTAATGTCGCCATCAAGAGTTGTGACGCCCGAAACCACGTTATAGGAAGCACTGAGGCATGCCTCTGAAAGTTAAATATCGCGAAGATATTAAAAAAACTTCCACAATATACTTTATTGGACATCGAAACTGGCACATGGCTTAATGAAAAAACATCCTGAGTTTCAAAGATTACTAGAAGCTTACTTCTAACATCAGACATGCTGCTAGTGAGGTCAGTTATCATTAATCTCTGGATTTCAGGTTTTGTAAAAAATTAACTAATTTAAAGGTATTTATAACTATGACTTTAAAAAATTGGACCTAAAAAGGACTTAAAAAGGCAAAACGATCGGCACATCTGATTTCTATGCGTATCTAAAGGAAACACACATTATTAATATAATCATACCAGAATCCTTATTGTGACAAACGACGCCAGCGAAGTCTCCACTGGGGCAATCATGGACGCTCCAAGGCGCGTGTCTGCACTGTCGCAGTGAATCTTCATATCCCGTACAGCGCACACTGTCCAGCCACACAATTAACCTGGGGGTGTCGGCACTGAAGGGGACGGCAGTCGCGATGCCGTGAGAGTAACCCAGTTCTTTGCATGCCACCGTAGCCTCAGTGTCCGTCCAGCCCGTACTGCACACTAAACCCCACACGTTCTGGTAGAAGAGTTCAAGCCGTCCGCTGTTAGTCTCGTTATTTGATAGGCGAAGCAAGACTGGGTGAAAAAAATCGACTAGACCTTTATCACGTGCTAGAGGTGACCGTGATTTTATATCCATAAATAATATATTGCTGTGCAACCGGAGAGGGCGAAAGCACTAAACTGGCACTAAACTGAATAAATTGTTATTAGGTAAAGGCAAAGAAATGTAGCAAAATGAAAACTCTTGTTTAAGAATCCTAAGAGCATAACTTGCGTACAGGGATGCCACTGACAATACAGTGTGCCTGTCGAGATAGCCATTACTCAGCAGCACCTTAAGGAGGCTTTATTTGTGGTGCAAATGATAAGGAATTCGAAACAACAACACATTTAAACAAATAAAAAACTACCTGGGTCCGGATCACACTTGACCGAGGCGTCCTTACTGTGATCCAAGTTCTGTCGTGATATCACCCCAGAGGTACACTGGTTTAAGCTGGGCTCCATGCCCGTACACTGGACGTCCCCCAACCACACCATACCGAACCCTGGGCCATACCGCGCAGAGGTGTACGCCCACCCGTTGTGGTACCCCAGCTGGCGGCATACGACCACGGCGTCTTTGTAGTCCCAGTGGTCGTCAGACACCGTTCCCCAGTGGTCATCTTCGAGGACCTCCACGCGGCCATAGTTACTGTTGCCGTCCGCCAGACGGACAGGTGCATCTTCTACAATAGTATACGGTAAAAAGTGTAAGTATAAATATAGCTCTCTCCTTTAAATTGAATGTTGACAGTAGTATGTGGTATAATTTACTGACTACTGTGTACCTCACATTTTCGGATTTGGACACTTTCTTTCTTTCTTTAAAGTAGAATGAGAAGAGTGCTTTATCAAGTAATCTATTTTTTTTTTCATTAAAAAATATCTTGTTTTTTTCTTTTTTTTAATTGATACCTTCGCAGTAGACAGCCGCACCCTCTACACCATCACAGTTTCTCACATTTCCCCAGAGCCCGAGCTCACACCCTTTCAGACGCGTCTCGTTCCCGCTGCACTCAACGTGATCGAGACGCAGGGAAACCACTGAAGTCGAACTCTCTGCATCAGCTGTCGACATGTTCAAGGCAAAACCTCGTGTAAATCCCATTTGTCTGCACGCCACGTTGGCCTCGAGATCGGTCCACTGGTCAGCACAAATCCTGCCCCACTGACCGCTGTGAAACACCTCTACTCGGCCATAGTGTTTGTCACCGTCACTGAGGCGCAGGTCTGGAAATACACAGCAACCATTTAGCAACTTTTACTGGAAATATTTGCACCCTAGGTCAGTGGGTTTGCGGCAGAATGAAACGTTTTTTTTTTCTAAACACTAAAATTCCAGTTGGCATATGTCTTCTACTGTGTGCGAAATAACATTCACGCCCTCACAAACATATGACCTATCGCAAAGATTTCATACTTCTAGCAAGCGTACCTGGAAAAATTGACAAATGCTACGCTTTTTTTCTTTTTTTCTTCTTGGATGTAAAAGAAATTTTGATGTGACTTGCTAAAACTCTGAAGATGAAAAGAAGTCAGGTTGTAGTACATGGGAAAGAAACCCAAAGATTTATCACAATTAAATAAATAAAAGAACGCTCTTTACCGGGATAACAGTACACGGCGGCATCCAGATTATGTCCGCAGCCAGTGTTCCCCCAGTTAGCGTGCTGACAGTCCAGCAGGTTCTCCTCACTCCCCTCACACTGCAGCTCTGTCAGCCACACTGGGCCCCGGCCCTCCCCGTACCGGGCGTACCCCTTAACGTTCCGCACTCCAGGAAATCCCAACTGCCTGCAGACGACGCGGCCGTCGTTGATGTCCCAGCCATAGTGGCACACGCTCCCCCACTGGCCCTCGTGGAATNTTTTGTCGGAGTATCGTGGAGATGATTTTTATACGTAAATTAAAATCAGCATCAGCACTTAAGGTGTCGTTTTTTAGTAGTATATTGATCTGATGGAAGGAATCAACAAGTGCACGCGTTAGTTTTTTCTAGTGCATTTGTTGAAAGAGTACAACTTTCATGTGTAGGCCCTCGCCAACGACCGCTCCTTCCAGCTCTTAATACTTTAAAATAAAATCCTTGCAGGCCGGTACTGCAACCATCTACGCAGTAAACTGAGAATTGACCACAAAGGAGTGGATGTTTTGTAAACACGAATGAAAAATTAATAAAAGTGATTACAAAAACTCCAAGACCTAAGGTCCCTTGCCACTAGATTCAACTGAAAAAAAGAATGCAGCGGAAACACGTTTATACGACTCTTGGACGAATAAAACGAACACAGTGCATCATCATCAGTATTTTGACTTTCATATATACTTCTTATACGTTTTCAGGTTGGTTTTTGTCTATGAAACCCAAAGACTCCTTCTTGAAGCGTCTTGATGTTAGCACAAAGCACAAAGCGACAAATCAGCATTTTATGTTTGGAGGACACAATACTAAAACACTAGGGATGATGCTTGTAAGTAACTTTGACAATTATTATGTTAACGCAAGGGATGATGTAGAAACCGTTTAATTTACATGTCTTAGCAACATCCGAACATTATAGCAAATAAAACATTATTTGACAAATTGGACAAATTGCATCACATTGCATTGCAACGCATCATTGCACGTCGTGGCAAATGCAACATTATATACAACATTCAAGTTTCCAATTTGAAGTGAAAGAAAAAGGAGAAAGAAGTAAAATTATAACTATCGCTTTATCCTCATTTTCCTCAGTATTCTGGTAACGAAGTGGAGTTCATGAAGAATCAGTTTGAAAACAGACTGACAAAACTAGACGATGACGGGAAAGCGGAATTCTACTTTGAAAACCCCCGACCAGAAACAAAATTGGCCAAGTAAGTGTTAAATAGACTTTTCAAAGCAATAGACTACATTTTTAATTACATTTACTTGTCGGTAATTAATCATCTCATTCTTTGTCAAATAAAAGTTGTGATTGCGGACGGAGAAGCTCCATCCATTCACACACACACAATAAACTTATTCCACTGTGCACTAGGCAGAAAACTTTCGGGCTACTTGAGTATATCGAGACATTTCCCAAGTACTTACCTCTTTAACTTTTTAATTCACAAACGATTTCAGCAATGCATGGTTGATGAACCGAATAAATCAAAGACAAGAGCTTGTTAGGGTCTAGCTTTGATGTTAACATTCTTTCTTTTATTACAATCAATATTCCCTTTTAGGCTCAATGGTCCCATCGTAGATCAATATCTGAAGACGGAGAGAAAAAGGAACCGAATATTTGAGGCTGCCATGCACTTTTGGCAAGCCCTCCGCGAGTGCGATAAAGACGGGAACGACGCCATAGATAAAGACGAACTAAGGAAAGCGCTGCAAAATGTAAAGGAAAATATAAAGATTGCGTTAAGGGGGTTATGTGGGTAAAACCATATGCAGGGATTACTCAAGCGTCCTTTGTTAGGCGTAATAACTAATATTAATCTCGATTCGACTCTACCCATTTCAGTATATCATACATGTATAATGGTGCTAGCATTTTTTCAGAATAATAGCAAAGATGATAATGAATCCGTTATAATAATGCATTAGATAATTGAAAGCAAAAATAATATATATTTTTTAAACGCGATTTAAAATCTTAATGCCTTTCCTATTCAATACGTCACTCGCCTCTTTCCAGGGCATATTCACCGAGCACGATGCCACAGTGCTGTTCGGTAAGACGTACAGCGTGGACCAGATCTTCCAAGATATGGACACAAATAAAGACGGATCGGTAGGTGGCGTTTTAAATGAGTTTTATTAATTAATTAATAATAATAATTTTATAATAATAATAATTTATTTGCTAAAATTGCAACCTAAAGGTTGAAGTTTTACAATGTGTCTTAAATAATAAAATCATAAGGTATTTTAAAATTAACTAAAAATTATAAACTAAAAGACCAAAGCTTTAAATATACGCATGTTACCATAATGGAATATTGTGTAAATTTCTTTTCTGTCAATAAAGAATAACTATAATAATATTACAAAATTATTTTAAGTAGACAGACAGATACATTTATTAAAATATAAGCATATCAGTTTTTTGTTGAAAAAAGTCGATTTAAAGTCCTATGGATTCATAGCGTTTGTAACAAAAGCAGCAAAGTTGTTGCTTGGGGTGACATTAACCTTATTATTTATTGTCCATTTCATTCTGACTAAAGACAAATGTATATTGAACCATATTACCGACAAAAAACATCTACTAATTAGGGATTAGGGTTTTTGTTTCACTTTTTTTTTTTTTTTTTTTTTTTTTGCTGTGAAATATTGTGCTGTGTATCTTTAAGTTACTTGAAAGTTTCATATTTCGCAGTGAGGTATTTGGTAATTTCCTCACAGAGGACAACCCACTGTTCCCCATGCTCTTTCTGGCGATCTGGATGGTAATGTTGTATAGCCTTCAACAGGACTTTCTTGATGCTGTCGTGTTCCCCGGAGTCAAGGGCTTCTTCGTCTAATTTCTTATTTCCCCCCTTGGGAGGAAACGTCTTGTAAATAAATCGGAGGTATGATTCAGCAAGGCCATTAGCTGACTCTTTTAACTTTTTCAGGTCTTCGCTCAGTTCCTCCAAGTACTTTTCGCGTTTCTTTTGCCACACATCTTCTTCTCGCTCCACTTGTTCTTTTTGGTATCGTTGTAACGCACTTGTACATTCCACATACCAGTCTGTAAATGAACGTTAACTCAGAATATAAGTAGTATTTAGCCTCAGAGTACAAGTACATGTAGTAATTGTACCACCAGCGTAGGCGCTGCGGTACACATGGTTTTAGTCCCGACCCGCATGTTCCGCCGGCTCCGCCGGCTCCTCTGGCNCTGCATGATTGCCTGCGGCATTTTCTGGTCTACTTAGTATAGAAAAAAGAGATGTTAGATTGGGCAAAAGTTAAATCCCTAATGTTAACAAGACTTGAAATACGGGAGGCTTTAAGTTCCAAAATAAAACGCAGAGAGCACCATTCTGCTCGAGAGAGTAACATTTGATCTAATAACTATGCAATTTAACATCTGTACGTTATTTTTTCAGGTCTGTATTAAAATGATACTACACATAATGCACAGTTTTCCTTACTGGTTCGAACTTATCGGAAAGCCCCCCTCACCTTTCCTGCAGGAGCGTTTCCCATCTCCCATTCTCTTGTCGTGGCATCGGCACACGTAACCCCCAAATGTATTGACGCACGTAGATGCTCCATGGCACGCGTGAATACCTCGGCCGCATTCATCCAAATCTACAGAAAACAATAAGATATTAAGTTCCTGGTAATTGAATGTAAAGAGCAGCGTTAAATGTTCCTGTTAGTATTGTATGTCGCTTAAGATTGTATTCGAATTAAGACAATAGATGGGTATTCTCGCGTAAGTTTCAGGTTTCTATAGAACAAATAACCATTAAAAAGCATTAAAATAACCTTTTCAAGTTGGAATGGTGTACAATTGTTTTAATGGGAATAATTTTCACCAACTAACAATCGATTTAGATTTCTAAAAGCCTTGAACTTTGAAACCAGATGTTTAAAAAGAACAACAATAATAACTCCCTTTAAAATACAAATAATAGCGACAATATTTCTTTTTAAAACGAATGTAGATAAAGCGAGCGGGACATTTAATTATGAATAGTTGTTAAGCCAGCTGCTTAAATGGCAAAACATAGAGTAAAGAAGATAAAAATATATATATGGTACTCTTAAAATTACCTTGGCACTTCCCGTCCTTTCTAAGAAATCCTTTCAAAGGACAGCGACAGTAATATCCCTGATCATCCTCTCGTGGAAAGCACACGGTGCTCAGGTTAACACTTACAAGGGGTTCTCCGGTGAGAAACTTGGCTTCGTCTTCAATGAGACACTCCTCTTTACAATTAAATGTTTCCGCAAATTCTGAAATCAAACATAAAGTTTTATATATAATTATTGCCATCTACGTTTTAAATTCAGCAGCCTTAAAAGCCCATTTTCTTTCTTGAATCAATACCGACTTAAAGTAAAGTAGAAAAGTATACAATCAGTTCAACAGAAATATGTAGGTACAGTAATACATTGTCACCACAGCAAAAAAACTACATGTAGAACTGTTCTTGACTTCAATGACTTTATATAGTGCCACGAGTACAATTAGCTGTAACTGTTCTCCCTGGCCCCCTGGCACCGGTACATGACTGCTTGATGCTCACCAAAACAGGTTACAACAGCAACACACAGCAGTAAAAACTTCATATTCTTTGTAAAAACCAGTAGTTCCACTTAACACTCATCGTTCCAATTTGTTTCTGACAGGAACTAATTGCGTAAGCCTCAGTTTGTATTGTGTCCCTTGCCCTTTTGCGTCTTTTTGGTTTGGGGAGTTCTGGCATCAATTATCGCCGCTTCGGAGGAGAACAGCAGCGTTCAATGAACTGAAATGTGTAAACAACAAATGCTCAGCCGTCTTTCATTCTTGCCACACTTCACACACGTGCCACTTGTGGACTATGACTCAGAACTAAAATAAAAGTGGGTAGATAATCTCGCGGAATGCCTACTGTATACACATCCCCACCGACCACATCTCAGAACGCCACCGAAAGGCAGGGCGACTTAATAGAGAAGAAAAATAGATTTTAAATGGAATTAAGTGTATCTGGATTTTTCCCACAATCTAGTGTTTTGTTACAGAACAGAAAGGCAGACAGATAACAGAACAATTCGAATACGATCAGATGCCTTGTCACAAAATACAAATATAGTTTAAAACACTATAACGATCGGAATATTTTCCCACAATGTAGAGTATAGTTTTAGGAAAAGACAGATAGCAATACGATAGCAAAACAATGGCTTATTTCCACAAAACCAGCACGCTCGTTCTGCAAGTCGGACAAGTGTAAATCAGATAAAACGTCACCGTGGTGTCACCGTTATGAGCTCGTCCCATCACATCCGATAATCTCATTTACGCAGCATTCATTCCAAGAACAACGCACTAGTTACTGATTTGTATCCTTCAATCTGCAGCCTCCGCCCACATTTCAATTCTCTGTACGGCACACAATTATCAAAGTCCAATTGTTCTTTTCTATATCGGTAAAGAATCGGCATAAAATAACAATACATCATTTTGCGCAGCACCACTTGAAATAAATTTCATACGCAAAAGAGATTGACGCGTCTTTTCTTAGACAAGCGGTACCATTTAGTCAATTCCTTGCTCTCAGAGCTTTGGTTTCAGGCCTTCTCAGCTTAATACTTTCCAGGAAAGTAAATTAAAATTGCTCCCCTTTCTAAGCATCTGACACCCATTTTATAACCTTTCTCAAGCACTTGCTAAAATCTAAAAACGCCACTACTCAAGAAATAAGTAAATACGTGTATATTTAGCATCATGGCCTGACTTCACGGCAAACGCTCAAACTCAGAGTATATCTAATATGCCACATGAACCAAAAACTAAATTCTCAACACACCAAAAATTGTTTCACACTTTTGGTGCAACTCGATTAACTATTTTAAAACAGCAGTTTTGAATAATATGTACCTTCTGTTAAATTGCGCCAGGCCATCTTTACACAATTACCCTGAATTTCTGATTCCCGCAGACGATCTTGTCAACAGAAAGGGAACTTTTCTTCGTCAGGCTGGCAATAATGGAGTCTTTTTAGGGTAGGAAGCTTGGCTACACTGAATTTCCAACCAACTAAGGGAGCGTTCAGATTAACCCATCGTACTAGCTGGATCGATCCAACTCGACAGGAGTTTCTCCCAAATTGCAATCAATGATATCGGCTTAAAAGCGGCTAAGGAGAGCGCACACGAAAGTAAATTACACTCTAGCTACTCCATGTTGCGTGCCAGACAATAAAGCTGATTACACTGAATGCAACTTAGGGTGCATTCCCAGATATTTAGATCGATCCAGAGATTAAGATTTAGATCGACCTAACTCCCTGGGGGGCTCACGCTAAATTGCAGTCAGCCGAGCGCGCACCATAGTTAATTACCCCCTTACAGCTTTTAGAAGGCGGGACAGACGCTTAAGCCGGCTAAGCTGACAGTAATCTACAGAGGGATAGATCGATCTAAAAATTATGGGAATCCCCTGCAAAGTTGGATCGAACCAGCTGATACGATGTTTGAATCTGAACGCTGTCTAATATGCAGGGGTAATAGCTTTCTTAACTACGTTCCTCACTGAATGACCTCATACCTGCGTACTGACCACTGCACAGTGAGGACCTGTAAGTTTATTTTAATACCCTTTGGCTTCCTGTATTCTATAGCCAGACGCCTCGTAAGTATATAGATGGAATGCTTGTCCTCTCACCTGCGTGCCTGATGGTCAAGACCCGTTAGTCGGCTGGTTGGTTAAATTTGACGAAAAAAACGTCCGTGTTCACGAAAAAACTGACAACAAATTTGCCCATTACAAAGGTACCCTATAAAGGATTTTCGCGCCAAATCTTCAATTGTTGCAATTTTTGCTATCGTATGACGCATATGGCTATGGCAAAGGCATCAAAAAAGTTTTACTGTGCAGCACTGATCGTGAACAGTTATACCCAATCATTTCACAAAAAGATAAGAAGTTTTAACTTAAATAAAAAAATTTAAAAAAATTTTAAAAATTCGTAACTTAAAAAAAGCCCTACCTTCATATGATACAAGAATAAGCGTCCTTAATCTTTACATTTAGACAGGTAGGCATGGTTAATGCCAATACTGGTAGCTTAGCGTCTGTGCGAGTTCTACAATATGGGCTCAGTTGAGGCATCTAGC